AGATCCTCGACCTCACTGTTAATTAGCTACGTTTATATTAAAGTCACAATGAGATGCCACTTAAAACCCAGCCAACTGGCAAATTGTATATAACTTGTAACACCAAATCCTTGCAAAACTATGGCAAAACAGGAATCTCCCTTACAGTCTGGGTCAGTGACACCCGGCAAGCTCTTTCCACCCAGAGCGCCTAGATGAGAACTGTAGCAGATGACTGTGATGGGCTCTTGCTGTGTGCACTCTTTGGGGGTCAGGTCCTCTAACCCCACAGAGCCAAGAGTTGTGGGGACAGGAAGAACAAAGCCCCCGGTGGGTCACCGAGAATGGTAAAAGCAACTAATCTTGTTTCCACCCCTTGCTTTCAAAACACGTGCGTTGTCTTCTGGGTGGCATGGCATGCCAGTGTCTTTGGGGTCTTTCGGGGAGGGCCTATCCTGTGTCCTGAAGGATGGTACACACCCTCAGAGTGCCATCTCTGAGTTGGTCTACCCCCGTGTCTTGGTGCTTTTTCCAGACAACAGCTTCTGGGTAGTGCACTGTATAGTGAATAGGTGGAACTGTGTCACAAGCCACAGATGTGTCCCCTATGCTATGAAGTCAGTCACCTGCTCTAACCTGATAGTATGTTGCCGGGCCCCTGAAGGCAGAAGAGGCAGACCCATTCCAGGAGTACCTGTCTCTTACGTGAACATACATGAGTTCTCTCACCCCTTGGCCCCTCGTGGTGGATCAATCCCCTTAAGAAATGGTGCTATGTAAGGTGCCTGGTGACCATCTCTGTTGCTATCGTATTGGGTGTTTAGTGGTGGCAGCAGCTAGATGAGACTTGGTGAGAGGGGGTCTAGGCTCTGGGCTCATGTAAAGCCTATTTCTTGCACATGGCCACATTGCTCCTGTGTCCATATTGCCAGTACTAGGGTGGCTGAAGAAGCTGGCCAAGGGATGTTGGCCTATTCTTTGTTGGCTAGTGCCTCTGTCATGGTGGGTGCACTCTGGTCAGCATTAATGTGTGGTACAAAGATCTTCACGCTGCAGACGCGCACTCCTGTGTGTATCCTGGGTTCTTTGTTCCTGATCTTCTGGACTTTTTTGTTTCTGCCCTGACTAGTCAACCAAGCCATGTGTTACTGTCCACGAGCCCACGTGTGAACTAAATGTGGGCTACCTCTTCCACAGGTGGGTAACTGTGTGCTCCTCAAGGCTACCAATTGGGAGGGTTTTCCCTTACCACTGTCTTTCTTGGCCACTCCTAAGTGATCCCACAGTGTGGCTGTTAGGTACGTTTGACTCGCTCTCACATAATGAGCCATAAACAAAGCAAATCAAAACAAAACAAAACAAAAAGGCCTTTACCTTGTCCTTTAGCCGGTTTACAGAGTCCCCATACAGCCACAGGTATGGAGTGAGGGACTGTGTGGGCACACCCCAGTACATGCTGGGGAGGCTGGCTACCTGTTCACACAACCTGCTTATGCCCTCTGGCCCTGCTCACGTGTGATCCTGGGTATAACTTCTCTTCCATGATGGATTGTGACTGCACCCACTGGGCTAGCTCTCGATGGTCAATTTTAGCGCATAGTCCCCAGGGATTCCCCTGGGTAGTCATTCAGTGGTGAGCATCAGTCGTACCCACATCATGGTCTTGAAATGCCTTTTCCCATCTAAAGAACCAGCGCAGGAAGTTGCCCTCTGAGGACAGGAGCAAGTTGAGGCACATCGTGATGCGGGTCAAGTAGCTTGCGTTCTTTAGCCGACAAATAAAAAGGAAAATAATTGAAGTGGGACTTGTCAATGGAAAGGACTTAAAAGTGCACCAAAATTTTAAAATTAAAAAAAAACTAATATAATGCCAGAGATGGACTCTTAGATGATAAAAATATAAAGAGACACAGGAAGGAATTACTATAAAAGTCAATAGGAGTTGCTTTGGGGAGGGTTGTGGATGGTGGTCACAAGATGTTTGCCTAATAGTGCTTTCAGAAATGTGTTTCAATAGGTTAAAATATGAGTATTTAAAATAATACAGTGAATACTGTATTTTATTTGATGACAAAACTCCTTTTGATTATTGAAAGTTACGAGGAATTCTTCCATAAATAAGCTTGTTTTCTTTGTTTAAACACACATGCTCTCACACTCAACCCCCAAATTGAATGCTCTGCCATACTGCAAGCCACGAGATAAGACACTGCTTCCAGGAGGAGTTGTTGTTCTGACAACCCCTGTCCTAAGTCAGTGCCTCTCCAGATACGTGTCCATTGATCTCACACCAGTTCTGTCAGCCACAGGTGGCACTTTGGAGGCCTTGGCCCAGTGGGAGTCTGGTTGTCCTCCCTGCAACAAGGCCATTTCTTGATCCCTACTAAACATTAAAAGAGGATGAACTTCTTTTTTACTTATAACTAATGTTTTGTTTGGTTCAGTCAAGAATATTTTAAGTTTTGACAAAACCCCCAGTGGAGCCTGAAACCGCAGATAGCAGTGAACATTATATATTCAGTACTTTCTGGCTTCTTGTTGGCGTATCTGAATTGCTGGCATTCCTAGCCTTGTACTCTGGGGCTATTAGTAAGGAGAATAGGGTTTCTTTTTTTTTAATATTTGTTTTTTAGTTGTAGTTGGACACATTACCTTTATTTTATTTATTTATATGTGGTGCTGAGGATCGAACCCAGGAGCTTGCACATGCTAGGCAAATGCTCTACCGCTGAGCTACAACCCCAGCCTAAGAATAGGGTTTCTTGAATATAAGTGCTGTGATACCATGGCAGCCAATCGGATAACTGATATGGTTAATGAGTGACTAACAGGCAGGTAGTGCACGCCACGTGGATACGCTGAACCAAGGGATGATTCATGTGTCAGGTGGGAAAGAGGGGACAGTGACATTTCATCACACTACTCAGAATGACAAGCAATTTAATTATTTATTTCTGGAGTTTTTCATTCAATATTTTCAGACCATAATTGTCTAAGGAGATTGAAATATCAGAAAACAAAACTTAAGATAAGGTGTGTGTGTGTGTGTGTGTGTGTGTATTGTGGGGGGAACTATGGTACCATGAAGAGAGATGGCCTGAACCATCAAGAGGCACCTGGGAGAATTGGAGACCAAGATCTGGTCGGCTGGCTACTGAAGCCTGTCATGTCCCTTGTATGTAGAATGTTAAAGATGTGACACTCTTTGGTACTGTTGTTATGAGTCATTGTGCAATATAAATATTTTATTCACTGAACCCCATGGACTCCTGAACATCAGGCGGGGTGCCTCCAGTGTGGCGCCTGCACGGCTCCTGCGTGGCTTTGAGGCTGCTGATGTCCAGTAGTGTCGAGCTCACTGTTTCCCTGTCCTCCAGAGGTTCTGTAGCACCAGTCCCTCGTCCCAGGGAACAGCAAAGTAAAATTTGTGCTGAATCCTTTTGCCAGAGACAGGGGATACTCAATTTTAATACACACTCAGAAAACATTTATTTATAATCACTAGTAATAAATAATTCACTTGTAAACAGGGGAAGTGCTGTAGTAGTTTGTAACTCAAGTAATGTATATGCTTCTATTATTTCTTTGAATTTTTTTTAAAAATATATACCTTTCATTTTTAAAGTGATAGAACTGTATCACAGAAAAACTTTAAAAATGAAAAAGTATTTCTCCATTCTCACCACTGTAATATTCTCATGGTTATAACTTCAGTACAATTCCTTCCAGTCTATTTTGGTGTGGATATTTTTATAGTTATAATAAAAACATGCATATAATTGTGTTTTTCCTTTTTAATTTAGCCTTAGATAATTATGATATAATCACATGCATATTTCCATGTTGCAACATTATCACAACAGTAATTTTTACTGCATTGAATTTAATTATTTGGCTCTATCATATTTTAAAACTATTAACCTATTTTTGGGTGGTAGATTTCCCCTCACATTTTAGCAAGTAGAATATTTTTGAATAATGTATAGCTTCATGAACATCATATTATGGCTATTTATTGTTGCTTTGAATTTTTAAAATAGAATATTAAATGAGTGTCAAGAATGTCAGCAAACTAAATTTTCTTACAGCTCTGTCATTAAGTCTATCAAATCTGGCGATTGTGGAGTAGGAGGCATACATTAACTTACCAACTGTTGTTCATCTTAGTTACTTGTGAGTTTAAAAAGCTGAGTACAGTGTGAGTGAGGCATCTGTCTTGCTACTTCTAGAGATGGGCGTGTTACAGCAGTTGTACTGGGCAGTCCAGAAGCTTAGGGTAGAAATGGGAGTCCCTGTGTGTAACCCAAGGACATGATGCAGTAGCTGTGCTTGTGCTCCTGGGGCTGGGCCTGGTTCCACCAGGTGTTTGAGGAAGCTGTACCTGTTGGGAGAACATGATGCTCCCTGTTGAATGGAGTGGACTTTTGTGAGTGAGTTTGTGGTTGTTCCTTCCCTTCCTTCCCCCTGTCCCCCTCCATTTATTATATTCAGTAATAGAATTCAAAAGATTGGATATGTGGGTAATAAGTGATTTATCACATGCAAATTTACAGTGACTTTAAAAATTTTTAAAAACTGAGCACGTATGCAAAATGGTTCATTGGAAATACTGCATCAATCTATGTTGATTTTGTAAGTTTCTCCATTAAAATTAGCAATGTAGTGCTACACTTGTTTGTTAAAATATTTTAAAAATATGACCAGAAAGCTGTTCATTAAATGAATTTCTATTAATTTATGAATTGAGTATGGAAATATTCATAAAATAGTTATCCTTTTACTGTGTCATTGGGAAGGGTATAGATGACCTGATTCCATTAAAATCTAAGGCTTTGTGAGTTTTTGTACAGTGAAAACAGAGACATCTTTACAAACAACTTTAAATGAAATTATTTTTAAAGGTTAAAACCCCTCCTTCTTTACAAGACAAAGTCGAGCTCTGTGTCCTGGCCCATAGGCACTGCAGTGCACTGGGCACTCGCCTTGGAAGGGGATTAACCTGTACCTTCTGTTTTTTGTAGGAATGGGCTGTTTCTGGGGAGCCGAAAGGAAGTTCTGGATCCTGAAGGGAGTGTATTCGACTCAAGTGGGCTTCGCAGGAGGCTACACTCCCAACCCCACTTACAAGGAAGTCTGCTCAGGTAGGAGGACTGCGCTGTGTGTTACTAGGAGGGACAGGCCTGTCCCTGCTGGTGCACGAGAGCCTCTTCAGCATGGAAATAGCAGTTATGTTTAATATTTCCTTGGGCTTCCCTTTACCATCCCTGTGAATATACTTGTTTGCTTCTTTTACATTTTTAGAAGATAACAAACTTCCTCTGGGAGGTATCATTTAACCTTTGCTATTGGTCAACCACCCAGAGCCCAGTAGCTTCCAGCTTGCTGTGCCCTCTGGGCTGGGAGCACCAGGCTCTTTCTCCGGGGCTGCAGTCCACTGTGGGCTGCTGGGACTGGCCGCTCTTGGCCGCGTCTGGCAGTCGGTGCTATTGGCTGCCTAATGGGGATGGGGGTGTGGCACGCTGGACAGGGCTAATCCACACAGTGGTGGATGCAAGAACCCAGGAACAGCAGGAGGGCAGGAGCCCCGTTCTCTGACTGTGGCACACTTGCTGTTGTCCCACTGGCCAAAGCAAGTCCCATGGTCTAGCCCAGGGTCAGTGTGAGACAAGAGACCAGCCCAGGCAAGGTTCAGGGACACAGGGAAGTGAGGAGATCAGGGCAATCAATGCAACGACCCCCCTCGTGGCTCAAATGGCTCATGTGAAAGGCATGTTTTCTGGAGGGAAAATGGTGAAAAGCCACACTATCATGCAGGGATCCGCAAACCGCAGCCCGCAGCCCACGCCCGCTCCCTGTGTGATTATGTAAATAAGGTTTTGTTGAAACACAGCAGTGCCCAATTTTAAAAACATGTTATCTGTGAACACTTTCCTGCCACAATAGCAGGGTTGTGTGGTGACCACAGACACTGTATGGTCTGAAGAGCCGGAGATGTTTACTCTCCGGCCCTTTACAGGAGAGGGGGAAGAAAGGAAAAGAAAAATGTGCTTTTCTGCAGAGAAGAGGCAAATGCCCCCTTTGGAACATTCTAGTTCAGTGCCAGCTTACCTCTCTGGATTTGTTTCTGGCCTTTATGAATTCCCTTTTATTTCTTGCCAGCTCAGGAAGTATGAAGGCTCATTTTTTAACAGAATAATTTGTATCCTATCCCAACTGGGAAGGTCCAACTAGGTCTGCCGTCTGACACATTGACACAAATGGAATTTAAGAGTACACGAGCAGCTTTATCTTTTAAAGTAAGCATTGGTTTCAAAATTAAACCAATGCTTACGCAGAGCTATAAATAGATTCAGATGAACTGGGGAGATTGCCCAGGTGTATCCTCTCAAGTCTTAGGAATGAAAATGAATAGATTCCTTCCTGTGGTTCCAGGCATGACTTATCATCCTACGATGAAACTGTGGCTTAGAAAACCCCAGAATGTCCATTGCTTGTGCTGTTATCCTCATCTTGCAAAATGATGATGATCAGCCAGAATAGTGTGATTGATCGTTTGCTCGGACTCCCTCAGTTCACGTCTACCTTAGTGACACCATGACAGGTACAGTGAGTTGAACTCCTACTATGTGCCAGGCACTTTTTATGTCTTTCATTTTTCCAGACAGTTCTCCCATGAGGCCTGTTGATTTCCATCTTTTGCAGAGGGAGTGTTGAGGCTCAGGGAGGATAGGTTCCTCACCCAGGGTGCTCAGTGGCTGGAATTTCCACTTGGTTTGCTCTCAGCTCAAAGTTTACGCCATTGTCATGGTGTAAATCTCCTGTCTGCTGCTCCTTGCCAGCCCTTCTCCATTCATCTCCACACACTCCCTGCACCAAGTCACAACCCCACTTTCAGGTCTATCCCTCTTCTGCAGTTTTAGATATATTAATGTGTGTTTGAATGATCACTGTAGGAAAATACCAAAGAATTTTTTTGACCTTCTGATGTTTAGAAAGGAAATAACCAAACCCTTTAAGATCCAGTTCATGCAAATAGCTGGCATTAGAGGTCTGTGGTGATGGGTGGAGACAGGAACTGTGGAGGCTAGTAAAGTGTGATGCCAACACTCCTGCTAAGTTAGCGGTGGCTTCAGGAAGTGTGGTTGCCATGGAAACTTGCTCCTGATTGGAAAGAGGTACTTACTGGGTCTAATCCAGACATGAAAGGAGAGATGATTTCTTTCCCCTGAATTTGTTATTGTTATCCTGATCATAAAAGGGGTAACAAGAGGCTGTGATAGTGGTTCCTCTGGCTCGGGATGGTAGAGGCTTCAAATCCCTGGGAATATCAGGGAAGGAGAAATAAAGTCCCCAGCTAGAGGAATTATGGTAACCATCTAATTATAGATTTCTGACTGAGGAGAGGAGTGCAGGAGACAAAAGTCAGGTGGCCTGTCAGGCCTTCCCCACCTCTGCCCCCTCATGCACAAAGCCTTGCCCAACGTGTTGGGGAAACCAGACTCTGCTAAGGGGTGTAATAATTGCTGAGGTTCAGTGTGGGAGAAACTCTAGTCTGTCCCAGTACTTGCATCCATTTCAAAATTGCTTACTCTTGGGTTGGTCAAACTTTGATCACAACCTATGAATATTTTGTAAAGATTTTTGTTTTTGATTTTTACTTTTTCAAGAAAAGAACTATAAGGAGAAGAACTATTGTATGCAAATTCCTTCTCTATTGTGGCAGCACATTGGAGCCAAAGGTACCACTTGGTTTCTTGGGTCAGGAACCAGTTTATGGAAGGGGGCTGTCAAAGCCCCACCCTGATCTCTCAGGGGATGACAGATGTCAGAGCCTCCACGGTACTGTTGGCGTGCAGATTGGCGGCCCTGAGCCCAGGAGCCAGGGCTCCAGTTGGCCAGGCACCCTGCTCATGGGTGTGCACAGCCCAGCGGGCCTGGGTGAGCGCGTCTGCGAGCAGAAGCATGAGGTCAGCTAGCACGCCCTCACCTCCAGTGGTGTCTCCCTGTGAAGACTGAGGGGCCTGAGACCATGAAACCCAAGATAGAGTCTCCATCAGGCACCTGGAAAAGATGTACAACTTCTAGGAACAGATGAGCGGGGGGTGGCCCCAGCAGTGACACATGGTGAAGTTGACTGTTGTTTTAATTAGCTATTTTGCTGCTGTGACTAAAAGACCCACCAGAACAATTATAGAGAAGGAAAGTTTATTTGAGGGCTCATGGTTTCAGAGGTCTTAGTCCATGGAAGGCTGGCTCCATTCCTCAGGGCTCAAGGTGAGAAAGAACATCCTGGCGGAGGAGTGTGGCAGAGGGAAACAGCTCACATGCTGATCAGAAAGCAGAGAGACTCCACTAGCCAGATACAGATATATATACCCCATGGCCCCACCCCAGTTCCCACCTCCTCCAGCCATGCCCTACCACTTCAGTTACCACTCAGTTAATTCCATCAGGGATTAATTCACTGATTGGGTTAAGACTCTCATTTTTCCTCTGAACCATTTTGCATTGGCTCACATGCAAGCTTTTGGGGGACACCACATCTAAACCATGACAACTGTCATCTAAGCAAGATGCCTGTTGCATGTCGGGCACCTCCATCCACACATGTGCCTGGAGCCCGAAGTAGGTGGAAGATATAAGGAGCTAACATTTCCTTATGTTCACAGTAATGTTGCCCATTGGGAGAGAGCATAAAGATGCTGCCCTGAATCAGAGTGGAGAGCTCCCCTGCTATGTGGGTGGGGGGACTCAGGAGGAGGTTGGTCAGCCCAGGGGAGGGGACGGAGGCCCCAGTGGCACCCTCTGGGATACTCTGGGAAGACGCATACCACCTGACATCATGACACTTTGAAATTATATCACTAACCTCTTGTTCTGATCCACTCTGTAGAATCTTCTATTTTTTTGTCTTCTGGTGGTGATTGTATACAGCAAGAAAATGCAATGAGAACAGATCAGTCAGGCAGACAGTTCTAATTCTCTTTCCAAATTCAATAAAATGTCACTCTGAGATGTATATCTCAGTCTATTGTGAGTTTAGTCTGCATGGGTCATTCTCTTCAAATTGGATTAACCTTGGGTGGAATTGAATGATAAACATGGAATTTGGGCTTTCAAAGCTGAGAGCCAAAGCCAGACCTCCATGATTTTCCAAAGGCTGTGATTGCCTCCTTGCATTTCCCTGGAGATTCCCCATCTCTCTAGTTGTCGATAATTTCATTGGAACCTGACTTATTTATTTCCCTACTTACTTACAAACCTGTTTTAAAAATGGCCATTCTCATGTAACAAGTGTGTAAGCTTGGTAAGCTTCCGTTCCTCGGATCTGTCAAATATGAGCCTGTAAGGCACAGGCTGAGAAATATTCCTCTCCAGGGTGTTTCAGGGCTGAGTTTGAAGCCTTCTGAAAGCCGGCTGCTGCCCTAAATCAGGCCCTGGCCTTGACCTGATGGAAGGTAGCCAGCAGACCTGCTTTCCAGGGGGCTTGTGACCTGTCTCTAGGAGACATGCTGAGAGGTCACAAGTCTTGGTGGCCACTGTTCTTCCCTGGAATGACTTGCAAGGATTAACGCATTCTCTTGTATTCCTATGAATAAGGTCTCTCCCTGGCACTCAGGAGTTCAGAACCTGGAGTGCGCAGCACGAGAGCTTCACAGAGGTATTCCTTTTTTTTTTTTTTTTTAAGAGGGAGAATTTTTTAATATTCATTTTTTAGTTTTCAGTGGACACAACATCTTTATTTTTATGTGGTGCTGAGGATCGAACCCAGCGCCCCGCGCATGCCAGGCGAGCCCGCTACATCTTGAGCCACTTCCCCAGGCCCAACACAGAGGTATTCTTAAGTGAATGGCGCTGCCTCATGGGACTGCACCTGCGCAAGATGCCGTGTTATGAACTGATGTTGAGAGCACCGGTTCCTCCATCCAGGCTTCTTTCTCCAGAGTCAGACAGAAGCTTGGTTTTCCATGTTTGCTTTAAGGAGTTGCGCTGACCCTGGTTTCCTCTTCTCTCTCTCTCTCTCTCTCTCTCTCTCTCTCTCTCACACACACACACACACACACACACACACACACACACACACACGAGCTCCCTCAAATGGTTGTTATGCAAACCAACTGATAACTGGCATGCTGCTGCTTCACGGCACTGATTCTGGAAGTAATTGAGCTATTCAGACTCCTGAATACCCTGATAGAGAATTATTCTTACATTTTATAATAACAACTGTACAGATGAAAATATGAAAAGATATTCTGCGGTGGATAAGCATTCTGGGTTAATTTCAGAGCATTAGCCTAATATACAAATACCCCATTTCTGGCAAGAAAACCCAGGATGTTCATTCACTGGGTAATATCTTTTCGTATTTTGCTTACAGATGTTCAGAACAATTCCATGTTTATTAGTCTATTCATAAGCTTTTAGAAATCTGCACAGCCAAGTGGCACCAAAACCAGAAGCATGAAAGGGGCGGTGTGGCTTTTCCTCGTGAGATTCACACATCCTCAAGATAATCTGAGGCCCAGACACTTGCTGTGTCCACAGGATTCTCTGGGGGATTGTCAGGCAAATTGTCCACAGAGGTCTGATCAGGTTCCTGCCTCTGGGGGGAGCAGAGCGTGGGTGGGGTGTAGATGCCCGGTTGTCTCCCTACTTCCTGAGCCTAACTTTCCTCTCTTGTAAAATAGAAGCAGTGCTCCTTTATGAGGCCATTGGCTGTGGTTGGATTATTTGAAGGTGGGATTGTTTTCAATGGACAGTTACTCTACAAAATTAGAACATCTGCTTCCCACCACTCCAGCCCTTGGGTATGTTAAAGGTGAGAGTGATGGGTCAGGAGGTGCGTGGCAGGCAGGGGGCAGCCTACAGCAGGTGCATGCTGGGGGACCGCTTCCTTCTTCTCCTCCTCTGTGTTCTTGGTAGGTCATAGCCACCCCTTCCCCAAGTGCATGTTGTTCTCTCCTGGATGCTGAGAGCTTCAACTAAGCATCGAATAATAATTTCTCCATTAATATAAAGCAGCTCTGTGTGCCTTTTAGTCTGACTTAATTTCTGAAGTGTTTGGGTGGAAGTGCACGTCTGCGCAGCTCACACGAGACTAATGGTCCCATTCTTCTTCAAAGCAGGGCTGAGATCTGTTATTAGCAGATCTTATCGAGCCACGGAAAACTCTTTCTAAATTCCTTGCAGACTACTTTAAATCCCCTTTCAGTGCATAGTCAGACTTATTGTGCTCATTTCAATGTCAGTCAAGGTAAATTACTAAGTTATTGACATATCCCTGAAAATGCAAGACTTGGTGTTCAGTTCTTGCTACAAGCAGTTTGATCACTTTTTGTTCCTCTTATTATTAGTCATAACATTGGGCCTGGAACTTATAGCAGGCAGAGTAAAGATGCTTATCTATCTCAATCCAGGCTCTGAGGTCAGGACCCTTGGCTCATAGTTGTAACCCCTAGGACCGAGTACAGCCCCTCTTCCAGCCCTGAGCACACACAGCTCTTCAGGGCACCTTAGTTAGTTGGGTGGACCCATCACCCAAAGGGGTGCAATACAGATAGTGGGGAACTGCTGTTGTTGTGAGCTCAGTCACTCCAACAAGCTTGGCTTCTTGACCAATTTCACCCTCTGAAGGACTGACAGCAGGAGTCTTGGGGCACAGGTCACGGGGAGGTCACATGTTCCAGGCCTGGAAAGGGCTTTAAATATCTGCTAGTCCAGCAGTTTTCAAACTGGGTGACCATGGAACCCTTGGGCTCCAGAAGGCTGCCATGGGGATTTGCACCAGCAGCGAGGTATTCCCTGCACGATGAGGATTTAGGCTGCACAGTGAACCTGTCACAGCATTACAGGTTGGGATCCTGATGAATGTGCCATGTTTTAACGTTCGCTGAGGCAACTTCCTTTGTCTGTGGAAGAGACCGCGCTTGACAGAAGTGATTTGAGAGAGAGATTGGAGAAGAGGTGGAGTGTTTTCTAATCTTCCAGATGGCACGCGATGGCTGACTCCTAGAATCTTACCTCATCCCCCCTTGCCAGGTGAGGTTGGTGGTCAGGGATTCAGAGTGGAGGGGGCTTTGAGTTTGAAATATTAAGACATAAAGGGGTGGACATTTTGTCAATTAGTCCTTGCTCTTCATTTCTGTTAGGCTGACCCAGCAGTCCCCGTCATTTGTGGGGGACACGTCCCAATTCCCAAGTGGATGTCTGAAACTGCAGGCTGCCCAGGCCCCGTAGACACAGTGCTTTTCCTGTACTAAACTCCACTTCCCAGCTGGGCACAGCAAGCGATCCGCAGTGATGACTAGTAATAAAGTAGAACCACTCTAACAGTGTGCTGCGGCAGCAGTTATGTGAACGTGCTCTCTCTGAACAGCCTGTCTGTCCTCACCCTCTTCTCTCCATGGGTACTGAAAGCTGAGAAGTGAAGCCATGGATACGAGGGATGTCCACACTGGAGCCTCCTGGCAGACCCTTCTTGTGACCGTGGGTGCTCTCTGTACCGTCTGCTGCACCAGGGGCGGAGCTGCTGGGCCTGGGCGAGGAGGAAACCTTACAGGGAGAGGGTTCCTGGCTTCCTGCCTTCCCTGTCCCTCAAGGCTTCTGCAGACTGGCTTCCCACCCTTCCCACACTGATTGGTCCCCAAGCACAGCCTTCAAGCCTTTGGCTCAGTCTCACACAAATCTTCTTCAGTGTTCAGTACGTGAGAGAGATGGCCCCACACTAAGAAACCCACCCTCCCTCCTGTCACTGGATTCAGAGCATGTACGTGTCCGTCATCACCCGTCCTTCCCATTGGACCCTGCAGTCAGAGCCTGCATCCACAGCACCTGTGCAGAACCAGGCATTTGCCCTTACTCATGTGGGCTTGGAACTGCCATGCCAAGGCGGGTTCAGGGTCCCCAGCGTTGAGAAGACTTGGGTCTGCTGGGCCTGCACACTTAGCAGAGATACTGAAACTTTCCCTGGAGG